ACCGTTTCTGACACACACCGCCCCCTCCTCTCCACAGGGCTGCATCCCTACCATGGCTCGTGCTGTCGTGGTCAACGCGGCCCAGCTCGCCTCCTACTCCCAGTCCAAGCAGTTCTTACTGGACTCAGGTGAGACCCAGAGCTGGGCTCTTGGCTCCTGGCCTGGCCTGGGCCAGCTCTGAGCTGACTGTCACCCCACTCTGCCTCCCCCAGGCTACTTCTCCGACAACATCCTGTGCCATTTCTGCGCCAGCATGATCAGTGGCTTGGTCACCACTGCCGCCTCCATGCCCGTGGACATCGCCAAGACCCGGTGAGCGTGCAGGCCCGGTCCCGGAGGGGGATAGGAGGGCCCGCTTTATGTCTCTCAAGCGCCTGCTTCCTCCTCTCCAGGATCCAGAACATGAGAATGATTGACGGGAAGCCAGAATACAAGAACGGGCTGGTGAGGAAGCTGGGCTGGGGCTCAGGCTGGAGGGTGGTGACGGTGGTGGGGAAGAGGGACACAGCCCTAGAAGCCAGGCCTTAACCCTGCCTGCCTGCCCGTTTAGGACGTGCTGGTGAAGGTTGTCCGCTACGAGGGCTTCTTCAGCCTGTGGAAGGGTTTCACGCCCTACTACGCCCGCCTGGGCCCCCACACCGTCCTCACCTTCATCTTCTTGGAGCAGATGAACAAGGCCTACAAGCGTCTCTTTCTCAGTGGCTGAGGCAGGCAAGGGGCCCAGAGCCGGTGTGCCAGGGCTCCCCTCACCCGCTGCCCCCACAGTCAATGTGCCCCCGGGGGCCTGGACTCCGCTGCCCTGGGCCCCTGTATTTATTTTTCCTCCACGGTCTGGTTCTCTCCTTTGCGGTAAAGGACTTTGGTCTGTCCTACCCCTGCGTCACCTCGCCCTCCCTGTCCCGATCCTCGTGACATCTCTGCCCCTGGCTGTGCCTCAGAGGGAGCTGGGAAACTCCCTGAGGATTTCCGGTCTCCTCTTGGGTGTTAGCTTCAGGGCATGTAGGACAGCAGAGGACCCGCCTTCTCAGTGGGTAAACCAAGGCAGAGCTGAGGGGACAGGAGACGGCAGAAGCCGTTGGGACGGTCACAAGGTCTGCAGTGGGAGGACGTGACCCTTCCTCCACCTCACTGAGGACATGATCAATAAATCGGATTGATGACACCACCCCCAGATCTGGATAGTTGTGAGGGGGGTGGAGGGGAGGAAGCCGGACGGACGAGGGGAGGTCCCTGGGAAACAAAAACCGGAGTTTCTAAGCAAAGTTGTTAAAAGAAGAGGCGAACGCCGCCGTGTAAAACAGCGTTGTCGTCACAGCAGGTAAGGAAAACGAAAGCGCGGGTCCTGCCAGCCACTAGAGTCAGTCCGAGGATGTCAGAATCACCTCGCGTGATTCCTAGGAAAAGCCTCCGGGCTCCCGTGGCTCTTACTGCAGCCCAAAGAGGAGGGAACGAGGAGTCAGTGGGGAAGGCTGACCTGTGGGAAGAGGGTGATTGAAAGAAATCAGCGTGGAGCTGGGGCCCCCAAAGCCTGGAGGCTTGAGGAGATGGGGTGTGTTAGCCAGAATCCTGATCTGAGCCCTACCCTGCGGAGAGTGACTACATTCCCCGTTTTCTTTAGAAGAAAGATTCCCAGGCGGTGCCTCAAGGAGCCTAAAAACATCCTGGGGCATAAAAGGGCACTGGAAGGTCAACTGGAAGGAAGGCTGGGCAGCCTGAGGCCCCGAAGGCTCCTGAGCCAGGCGGGGGGACAGGCAGGCAGCAGGTGGGAACCGTCTGCTTGGCAGAGCCTTGTCCGGAGAAGAGGTGGGGCTCGGCGGTCTGGCGCCCCCGCCGGGCCCTCCCGGTTCTGCCTCTCGCCTTACCCTCTCTGGGCACCTGCTGGCCTGGCCGTGGTGGCCGCTCTGAGACACTGGGAGCCTGGAGCTTGTCCTTAGGAGGTTCCAAGTCCAGCGGGGAGGATGGCCCGCGAGCAGGCGGTAAAGGGAGGAGAGCAGCAGACCGTCGCAGGGTAACGCAGGTAGAGCTGGTGAACAGCGGGGCATCTGGCCCAGCCTGGGAGAGAGGCCTGTGCTAGTGGTACTCGGGCTGGGTGGGGCAGCGCTCCTGGCCGGCAGGAGAGCAGAGGCTCAGAGGGAGAATGCTGCAGAGCCGGTGATCTGGAAGTCTGCAACAGCTGGAACACAGGTGGTGAGGCGCCTGTTGTAAGAGGTTCGCTGGGACGGCGCATAGAAGCCCTTGGCGGCCAAGCTCAAGATTGATGTATCCAGGGAAGCATTCCAGGCAGGAGAGGAGCGCGGTCAGGTTTTCAAGCTGGCGCCATCTGGAGAAGGGGGTCTGGAGCCAGAAAGGCTCAGCTTGCACTCCCATTGTCCGGGCTGCGAGCCCCGGCTTGGGCTGGCGACCCCAGAGGAGAGAAAGCCCGGCTCGGTGCGCTGGGGAAAGGGCAGAGTCGAGAGAAGCAGGGGGGAAGTGGGTTCCGTTTGCCTGTGTTCTAGCTTAGGAGTGGGAGGCTTCACTGAGACCACTCGGTACAACCCACTAAGGTGGGCACATCACCAGCCCCACTCCCATCCGTGCCTCGGACCTGAGCAGAGCAGGAGGCCCCGCCTTGGCTCCTCGGAGGCCCCAGGCACGGGGGCCGCTCCAGGGAAACTTAGGTTTTGAGCTGACACCAGTGCTCGCGGTGGTGAGGGGCTGCCCCCCTGGAGGAGGCAGGGGGCGTGGGTTGCCAGGCTGTTGGGTGAGGAGTGATCCAACTAGGGTGGAGGCAGTGGGGCCTCAGATGGGCCACCGTTTTCCTCTCCAAAGGAAAGGAACTTTTCTTTGTGAAGCTTTTTTTTTTTTTTTTTTT